CGTACGTACGTACGTACTACACTACACTACACACAGAGAGAGAGAGAGAGAGAGAGAGAGAGAGAGAGAGAGAGAGAGAGACAGAGACAGAGGGAGAGGGAGAGAGATGAAACTTCAAGAATACCTCTTGTATGACCAAAATCTTCCTTAAGGACTTCATAAGCCTGAAGTATATTTTCTGATGCACAATACAGAGATATAGGCACAAAATGGCTCTCCTCTTACAAATTCATGAAAAGCATTTTCCAGAAAAGTTATAGCTGTACCTGGGCCCTGTGTAACCTCTTGAGCTCTTCTTGTTTGGCTTGACGGCGAGCAGCTTTCTGTACTCGCCTGGTCAGTTTCGCATTGAGTTCCTCTTCTGTGTATGCTTTCTGTGGTAACAAAATGTAAAACATAGTTCAATCCCTTGCTGAAAATTGTCCCAAGATTCTGGAATTGAAGCATCCTACTTTTCTAGAGCACGGTGCCACTTGCTGTGCTTTCTGTTCAGCAAGCAAGTTGTCCTTCCAGATGTGTGCGCTAATGGTGCAGCAGGTGAGCTTTGGTGGAGATCTACAAGGGGAAGGAAGAGGCTTGAACCAGGTGCAAAGCAGTGATTTTACGGAGAGCTTCAAGTTATGTCTTCTTCTTAATGCTCCTTATGGCCTGTCATATACATAGGAGATGCTCTTGATTTCATTCATGTTCTTTACTACAGATAAAAACCTACTGTATTATTCCTTATAGATCTGTTGAGCAAACACGTTAAGAAGTGAGCTAAATATATCTGATCAAAGTACGATGCATGACAAAGAGCTCTCTGATGCTGTTGCTAAGACTTTAGTCTGCAACTCAATTCACATTTCAGAAACCCTCTGAATGACCCAACTTGCACTCTCAGCATAATGAAAGGAGATGTAATCAGCAGGACCTGTGATGTAGTTTGTGATTCACTTGGAAACTACATCACAGGAAAAGGACTGAATTCTCCCTCATACCTGTATATAAATTTAAAAACAAATCAACCTCCAATATATCTTAAACCAAAGTATTTGGGAGAAGGGTAGGTTAGAAAACTTTTGCCTATCATGTGAACACTTCAGGGAAGATTTGATTTCAGTAAATATATTATGGTATCACATTAACAATAATCTTAAAAGATACACCAGCAGTAGCTGCATTACAGCTTAGCTATATATTTTTGATACAAAATCTCCTATGAAGCTACAATTCATCTTATTTTTTTTAAATACTAAGTCCACTGTCTAAAACATGTCATCTAAGACATGTTTAGACAACATGTCATCTATCGAAAACATGTCATCTAATGCACATACTTACTTTCAAGGTAGTTGAAACTGTATAATTGTATAATTGTATAATTATTGTATAATTGTATAATGCCTTTTGGAGTTAAAATTCCTATGTTTCTAATTAAAAAGATATCCATGTTGTATGTTTTATGACCATCTACTGTATCTCCTTTCGTATCATGGAGCAGACCTTCATTTATATAAGCAAAGACTGTTTTCATGTTTCCTACATTTCACCCCATTTAAAAAATCAATTGAGCTAGATCATTGTAGCTGAATCCCTAAACAGATAAGATGAAGGAAGAGAAGGAATACCATTAAAATTACCACCAGAGTGCATTAGAGTTAAAAAGATGTCACACAACAAGAAATCACTTCAGTGTCCCTTTAAGCCAGTCTTCTCCAACCAGGACCAGAAAGTGTGGGAATCTGGGGAGCTCCAATTGCAATACATTTGGAGCTTGATGAAAGCTGCTTTAAGCCTTCTTCTTCTACATCAATCTGATAACCAACTCCAATAGTTAAACTAATATTTTGGAGAGAATGTGTATTTCATGTAATTGCCACAAGATAAACAAATTAACTGCTTATTTCATTTTTTTCCTTCAAGACTCAAACCTACAACCATAGTTGCTTCTTATGTTTCCATAGGCCAAGATCAATGCTTCTTAAAAGTCTTTCTTATCCACATAGAGACACAATGGATACTCAACAATCAAGATTCAGTATGGTACAGTGACTGGGCTGCAAGATCAAGATCATGCAGATTCAAAGACAAATTCCTGGCTGACTCTGAACCAATCATTTTTTTCTCTGTCTAACCTACCTCTGAAGAGTTGTTGTGAGAAAAAAATGGGGGTAAAACCTGTAAGAGTGGTGAAGAAATATGTAATAAGTAATATTTATATCAATCCCTCTTTTAGATACAATGCAAAGGTCCAACCTACCAAGGTAAGCACTTTGTAGAGTACCTTAAAAAACAGTGACTAAGATTAACATTTTTCCCAGCTGGATCGTCAAGTGCACTTGAAGGTTGGGGACTTGAAGATGATCTGTTGTGTTGATATTGTTAGTTGCTGCATACATGCACAGTCTGGGTTGTGTTAGTATAAATGAAGGCAGGGGAAAGCAGAAGACATATAGGCTCTGGTAGGTTAATAACAGAAATGCATGCAACAATGGCCCGTCAATGAGAATGGAGACACTACCTTTGATGCATATGATCTCTTGAATGCCAAGGCGTGTGGTACGTAAATCGACTTTAAAAAGGGGGAGGGAGGGGAAGGAATAGCAAAGGCAAAAATAAAAGAAATACACAAAATGGAGCAAAATCAGTTCAACATTGTAACACTCAATACAGATAGACAGTAATAAACACAAAAAGCTGCTTGAAATGTTACATGAAACCGTACAGAACACAAATAATTCAGAATCTGGAAATACACAATGGAAGCACATTGCTTTAACGAAAGTAAATAAAAAGCATCTTGTGGCCCCGAAAGTTCATCAGGCCAATTACAATTTTTCACACCTAAGCATTTGCAAGTTTGATACAAATGTGTGAAAGGCCAAACTTCAGACCAACATCTTTCCTAAGCCCCAGTGTTAGATTTTTTGGCGATTAAGGTATTGAATTTGGTATCTAACACTTTATTTTGGTAAGTACACAAAAAGACTGACAGAATTGCGCAAAACACAAAATGACGTCTTATTCTGAATGCCTGTCCTTCAATACTTTTGCAGTACATTCAGTTATCCTGAAACAAACATAAAAACATGAACAGAGAAGTAAGAAAGGTGGTGTGAGTTTTAGATAAAATTCCTGCATTTAGGAGAAGGCAACATATTTTTGAACAATCTGCAACTCCATAACTTAAATGTTGCATGACAGCAGCGCATATATACACTGATGATGATTCAAGTATACAAGCTACAGGAATCTGCTAAATATTTATTTAGTGGATTCTTTCAACATCATACATCAGACCCCTCCTCCCCCTCAATGCCAGTCACTAATGCCATTTTAGTCACCACAAAACAGGCAGCTGAGCCTTGATCTAGAAACCATGCATGAGTAACTTTTCCTGCCTGGAAGATCACACTGACTGCTCTGTATCCCCAGCATGACAATGTTCCCTAGGAGCCTGAGAGGTCTGTAGGATGAGAGATGATGGTAGCAGCAGCATCCACGGGGCATTCATGAGCAACTGCCAAGGGTTACCCAGGCCTTGGTAGTGTACCCATACAATAAATAGTTCCAGATATGATAGCAGTCTACAAATATAAAAAAGGCCATCACATGCAAGGGTGGATCTGTTTATTGTTGAAATTGAGTGGAGAACAAGAACCAATGGGTTGACATTAATAGAAAGGAGAGTCAGTGGAACTACCTGGAAGAGCTGTTAAGCAAAAAACAGTATCCCTCAAAGAACATTGTACTTCCCTTCACTGAAGATTTTCAAATGGGAGTTGGATGTGTGGTGAGTTGGGGTAAAAATTCAGGTTGACCTAATTTTATAACTAGGTTTACATTTGTCTTTGTAAGTACAGTATTGTTCATAGATGCCATTCTCTGTATCTCTCATGTAGCATCCTTAAGGACCAGATTTTTATTTTTGTGCTGATCTGTACCTGGTCATCACTACTTTGTTTCCTTTCTAGGAATATCTGTTGTGATTTCACACCATGAAGGATACCCATATCAGTCTCCCTGGTTATCTTGTTTCTTCATCATTTGTAAAGCAATTAGTCCTCCACCAGTGTATACACACACTCAATCTGTCTTTGACCAATGTTCTACACAAGTTCTGTGCTCTTGCTATTTGCTGTTCAGTGACCGAGCAGGGGACTAAGTGACTTGGAAGTATCCTTCCAAATCACACACCCTAGGATTCCAGGACAGTCATGTAAAACTACATCATCAGCTCATATATTCCAAGCAAAAAGTTAAAGTTAAAATATCCCATGCTACCTTGCCACTGTTATGAAAAATGTTACACGAGGAGAGGGTTACAGCAAGAACTCTTTGTCAATGATATTTAAAGTGGGAGTTAAACCATCTGTTGTTACTGTCAGCCTGATCCTTTAACTACTATAAGAAATGCCCCCCTTATGCACTCTTATTAGAACATTTAGAGTGAATTAGCTAGTCTATGGAAAATGTGACCATCCCTTACTCCTAGCAAAACTGATTATCTATTTCCCACTTTCAATTTAACTCTTAATACTGTATTTCTAGCACCACTGCTATTTAGGGATTATGAGAACTGGAATATCTCTATGTTATGCAAAATAGCAAACAAAAACACAATATACACTGATTCCCTCTGTTATACTAAGGCCCAACCTGCCTGAAGTAGCAAGGTTTAGATTTTAAGATTTTAAGGTTATTGATTACATTGGAACTCATCAGGAACCACAATCTTTATCCCTTTCTAGTATTGCAGGTATATTTCCCCCCCCCTTTTTTTAAATCCCATGTCTAATGTAGAACCTGCTATGAAAAGCTAGAAGGCAAACATAAAAGTGGTGCATTAAAAAAAAAAAATCAAATAAAAAGCACAGTTCAGGAAGAATGCTTACAGAGAAGTTAATCAAGGAGACCAATTCAGGCACTGAACATGAAAGAGGGTGATACTTATTTTGAATCAGCAACCTTTCTACACTATCCTCCACCCCACCAGGATTGCCTTAAGCTCAGCTCTTTTATTATCCTGGGTAAAAGCAGTTTGCTAGTAAGCTTAGTCACCAGTAGGTCTGTACGCAAAAAGAGCTACATGCAAATATAGGTAGTCCCCAGGTTAAGAATGCCTGGTTTAAAGATGACCCATACTCAAGAATGGAGCCTATACAGTTTGAGTTAAATATACAATGATTTGAGTTAAATATACAATGGTTCAAGTTCATTACGCAATACTCCTTATACAGTATTATACAATAATACTGTTCTGGCTTACATACAAATTCGACTTAAGGACAGTCCGTGAGAACGGAACTCATTCTTAATCTGGGGACTACCTGTAATTCAATTTGCAAACAAACCCAACTTGCTATTTCAGTCAAGAAGTTTTCAGGATAATAATCTTGCACAATTACCAAAACAGGTAAAGATATTTCTTCAATTCAAGATTGACTACTAGCAACTATAAGAACACATCCACTCAGTTTTCTGGGCATCAATATAGATGCAGTTAGCCATTGCCACCCTTTACTAAAAAAGAGGGTGTATGTATGACTATTTGACAAAAAAACTGGTAATAATTCCTATGGTTCTTGCATAATTTAGAAAAGGAATGCTCTTCATACATATTGCCTTTTTGGCAATATAATGAAAAATCTTTTCTTTTCCACTCCTATTAAAATAACTTTTGGAGTAGCTAGTTGCCTAAACTCACCTAGAATTCAGGACTGTGCAGGAATCTTTCCCATACCTAGTTTCAGAACAGACCTACACCTATGAACAGAAATGAGCCTTTTACATATAGCTTACAATGTTTGATCTAACTAGTTTTTCTCATTTTCATTAAAACAGATCCAAAACCACTGGGAAATATTAAAATTATCCATGTCAGTCTTTGTTAAGATTTTGTGACTCATCTTGGCCTCACATGACCATAGCAGTATCAACTTACCTCTCGCTTAGATCTCTGCGAGGAACGTTCCAAGACATCTTCGTTAGAGAGATCAGAATCCTCGGAGAAGCTTAAGTGCTGGCGCAGTTGCAAATCTGAGACAATAGAAAATGCATCATGTGGCAAAGCCCAAGGAGCAATTGGCATCATAGTAAAGTTAATAATGAACTAACTGGCCAGCACATGCTTAGAACTGAAAAAGAACCTCATCATCCCTTCCTGCAACAGTGATTCAGCTCAGGCTTTTCCAACAACTTCTCCTCAAGTCCCAGTCAATGGAGGCTGCGCTAGAAGCAGTGACACCTCCTTTCCCCAACACAACAACCTAACAGGCAACTGTCTTTTTTGTCTTTCAATAACTCCCAGGATCTCCCCAGGCAGAGTAACTGAAGCTGGGGATGAGTGAACTGCAGACAACTACTTCTAAAAATCTGAGGTACTGCCTATCTCCTGTAGCTTCTGTCCATCCCACCTAGTCTAACAGAGCCGGCACGCTCCAGGTCCTGTTGATTAAACAATACTACCTAGTAGGACCCAGGAAGTGGAGCTTCTCTGTCATGGTGCCTGCCCCTGGGAACACCATTCCCCCTGAGATTCATATAGGCCTCACCCAGGCCCTATTTAAACAAGCCCTTAAAAACTGGCTCAATGCCCAGGCCCTGGGTTAGAATGGGTGGTGGACCCCTTCTGTGACGTTCTAAGTTTTTTAAACGATTGTTGATTTTTTTCTGGACTTTCTGATGATATAGTCTGTATTTTTATCATATTTTCTAAGACACCCAAAGTTGGGAGACAGATTAGAGCACCTATAGATGTCATAATAAATAAATGCATAGGTTCAAGAAGACAAGAATACTAGACAAGGATTAGGGAGACAAGTGCTCAACTCTCCACTCAGTTCACTGGTGACACTAGGTGAGTCACTATCCTTCAGTCTAATCTAGCTAGGGTTAGATATAGAACTCTCAATCTGGGAGAAGTCTAAGGATACTTGATGCCTTTAGAAAGGACTGTATGTTGTTATTCTGATCTCTCATATTTATTTATTCTTCCTCTTCAGTTATCACTGAAAACATAAGGGGTTACAGCAAGTTGACATGCTGGAGCAAATCTGATCATGTACAAATGCTTGGAAGAGTCTTCCAGGTGCAGTGAAATCATTATAATACACAGACACTGATATTATACCTGCTGCTCTAACCAGTGGAGATGCCTTATGTTTCCCAGAATCCACTGTGGCCCCACTGGAAGGCGTACTAGGGCAAGATTTGTCGTCTGCCTTTTTCTTCTTGTCTTTCTTATAACTGGAGAAGACAGATTTCCAAAGGGATTTGGGCTTTGTGGATTCCTCAGCTGCACTGCTGGATTTGTCAGATAGCTTGTTTTCATTCTTTGACTTCTTCTCCTTTTTGTTCTTACGGGGAGAGAAGAGAGAAGTCCTTTTTTTACTCTTCCCACTGGAGCTTTCTGAAGATGTGATGGACCCATCATGCCCACCAATGTCTGTTAATGGTGAGAAGAACCTCTCACTACTAGCTTCATGCTTTAGAGTAGGGCCTTCACTGGCTTTCACAGCCAGATGCTTTGGAGCATCTAAAGAAAGCTCTTTGGTCTTTGAGGGTACTGTAGATGCTTTGCGTGATTTTGCAGCACCAGCACTGCTGGTCATCTCCAGATCTTTCATCCTGCTGAGCTGCTTAGCCATAGCATCCCGTAAGGCCTGGCTTTTGATAGACTTCTCCCTGGCCCTCATTCTCTCCTCAGCTAACTCCTTAGCTTCTGCAGAGACTTGAGGAAGGCCTCTCTTTCCACCTTCAACTGATGATGGTCTACCATTTTCCTTAACCAAATGCAGATGAAGAGGCTTCTCAGGCCTTGGCTTGCTAGGTGGAGTGTAATATTTTTCATTAAGGCTTGTATCCTCTGTTCTCTCATCATAGGTGTCTTCTACATCATCAGCAAATGGTATTTCATCCACACTCTCAACAAATGACTTCCTCACCTCTTCTCTTGGTGGCTGAGATGAATTTCTGGGGGGTCGGATCCTTTCATTTGCTGGTACCACGTGAGGTGTTTGCACAGACTCTGCCTCATTCTGCCAAACTGCCTGATGCCTTTTTCTTCGCAGTGTTGCTGGCTCTTCATTTTGAGGGGGTGGTGGAGGAGGGCTAGATGGAGGAGTGAGCATAGTGGAATCTGATGTATTAAAACTTTGGCTGGCCAGAGTCCTCATGTTGGATGAACTGCCCTGAAGCCCCAGTCCAGAACTGCTAGAGAGATCTCTTTTCACATCCCTTGAGTTTTTCAGCTCTTTCTCTGATTGGGAGGTTGGTGTCAGCAAAGAAAATTGCTCCTTATCCAACTTTGGTGTGACCACCTTTGTTGGTTTTACAGGATGGATTCCCTTTTCTTCTGAACCCTCATTAGAACTAAATGATTTGAGAGGAGCAGATTCAAGGGGTGAGAAGGTAAAGTTTGGTTCTGACCCCCTGCTTCTGTTGACAGGGGTGAGACCTAAACTCCTTCGGATTTCAGCACTCTTCATCCAGAATTCCTCTACAAGATTATTCCTTTTTAAAGTTTCTTCTGTTGTGGTGGGACTTCCCAGTTTTTCCATCTGTCCATCTTTACTTTTTAGAGCAAGTTTGGCCAAAGGAGTAGAAGTAAAAGCTGGGATTGGCTGAAAACACACTGGTGGCTCTGCTGGAGGTGGAATGGAGGCTTCAGCAGTGGGTAAAGGCTGTGAACAAATAGGCAGGGGAGCAAGAGGTGGAGAAGTTGGTTCTGTGGGTACTGCTGATTGTGATTTCACAGGTAATACTGGTGTGATGGCTTCAGGCAGTGCAACTGGCTGTGACCGTATTGGTGAAATAGATGCTGGTGGACTTTGGGGTTTTTGATCATCAAGGATCCTGTCTTCTTTTTCTTCTTCTGGGAGGAAAGGCTCAGGGAAAAAATGGGTATCTGAAGATCTTTCTCTGTGTGATACTGTTGTAAGAGAATCCTACAAAAAGGGATATAACCAGAGCATAATTAGGGGCCTAAAGCATTCTTCAGTAAGTTCTAGAATAAGAGCTTCCAATTCCTATTTTCTTATACTGTAACTACTTCCCCATCAACATATCTACAGAACAGTGCCTACAATTTTGCTGCAGAACACCAGCATATTACTGGATTCTGGGAAGATATTCTAGAGTGCACCAAGGGTACTTCTTGCTATGCTTGAACTCAAGACTATTATTCAAAATTCCCTCAATTATTGTACATTACAAGGAAGATAAATAGCAGTGTGCCAAGCTATTCCTCAGCTGTTCCTACTGGCCATCTTACTGAAGGACTCTTGACAAATTTTCAAGGAATACAATAGCATATATGGGCATAGTATAAAAACTATTGTTCCAGATAATTCCACACCCGTTCAGACAATCAAAATACAGAAAGGAGAATGCAAGTAAGAATAGAACTAGTATTGAAAACAACTGAGGCACATTCATACATTTGGCAAGTGTTTTGCACACTACTACATGAATAATTTAACTTCTGGTGTAGAGGACATTCTATTATGTGGACATATAAACCTTTCTTGCCATTTTGATATTAAATTTGAAATTATGGTTTTCTTTTTAGTCCTATTCAATGAATTTACCAAACAATCTTGGAAAGATCTACCACTTATCTTCCTCCAAAGGTGAAGTGCTCCTAGAAAGTGGGATGAAGAGAAGTCATAGGATACACTCTGCAGTTATGACACAGCTTTATAATTTACCATGGACTGGACATGCTTCAGAAACAGAGGGAAGTAAGGGTATGGGTTCCTCTGGAATCTGCCGGATTGGCCAAGACGTTTGGCTTTATCCATTAGGCAATACAATCTCTCTGCACTTTGCCTATATAAACCTCTAGCTTGGCTCCAGCATGGGTTCAAGTATAGATGATTATGGCCCTTGTTTGGATCTCCAATCGTAGTCAGTGAAAAAACTTTTCCAACTGTTGTCCTTCCAACATTCCAATCCAATATGAGAAACACATAAGATATGGGAAGGTTCTATTAGAAGGTGGATCCCCTTTTAATATTTGTTCCATCTATTAAATGTTCTAGCAGATAGTGTTGCCAGGCAAACTCCCCCAGTCTACTTGATTATAAAGCTATGAGTTTCTGGCTGATATAATTTTTTTCTCTACGCTTAAGTGACTATAAACACGCACATTACAAGGAGGTTTCTGAGTCTGGGATCAGTAAATGCTGTGAAACACAAGGGACCATCTTTCCAGGACCATGTTACCATGTAGTAAGAAGAACCCAAATTAGCTTTACTGCCAGAGGATAGGTAGCCATAGTATAGTCCTTAAGCCCACCTACCCACAGTTTTAGTAAAATAATACACATCTTATGGTAACATATAAAGAAAGCATATATACTGTACAACAAATAGCTGCAGCTAACTACAGTGAAAACCCCAACCATAGATATCACCACTAAGGAAAATTAGCTACTTTGGACAATTCCTTATTTGGACATTTGGGCAGCATATACAGGGATTTAGAGCAGGGATGGGGAACATCTGGCCCCTGTCCAGACCCCAGGCTCTGAAGTCCTGCTCGCTTTGTCCACTTACCGGGAAAATATTGCTTCAAGGCACTAGGAGCAGTTCCAAGTAGAACCTTGCTGTATGTCTCTGCCCTGCACACACCCTCCTTTTGCAAGGAGGAAAGGCATGAGGCAAACATAATCTGCTTTTGGAAAGCCAGCACTTGGAGATCTTGGGAAAGAACGAATTCTATCTATTCTGCCCTGTTTTTTACCAAGGTGGATGAAGCTGGCTCTTTGCAAGCTGAAGCCTGGAAGACCCTCTCATCTGGAAGCAATATCAACCATTCTTTATCTGATGCCTTCCTTAGCTGGGTAAAGTTGTAAACGTGCTCCTAGCTGGGTGGGCCTTCCAGCATTGGCTCCCAAGGAGTAGACACTGCAAAGTTCCCCTGTCTTGAAACTTCCCATTCCTGGGAGCCAGATTATATCTCTACAATGAAGAGAAATATCACCCTCCCATTCAGCCTGGAGAAATAAAGAACTCTTTTGACAAATCTTGATTCAACTGAACCACAGTATTATTTGCATTAAAGAAAGTCACTTACTGTGGTTATCACTATTTCTTCTTCAGCTATAATACTGTATGGTTTATTTTTTTACTAAACTTAACATGTGAACTTAACAATCGTAACTTAATTTTATATAAATAAGACTATTATGACCTGTACAATTAAAAATCATGGCGTAGTGTTACGTATGAAGATAGTTCCTTACCTCTTTTTCTTCTTCCTTGTGGTTACAAACTGGAGAAACAGGATCAGTCCTTTCACATGGTGATTGGACCGGAAGACAAGGATTATATGGATCTGAAGAACCAAAGAACAAAGCTATGATCATCTTAAAACCAAGCAAAGTACATGGAATTGACTGTCTCCCTTCATGCTCCTTTCTGCAAAGTCAATTTGATACCTGATCCATTTAATTTAACCATTTCTCCCTTCACACCCCTTGATATTACACTCTGGGCAATCTGCTCATATGCACATTACTTAAAAGCAAGTCCCTCTATATTTCAGAGATTATTGCCAAGGAAGAAGACATTACATGCTGTCTTCTTTGCCAAAATGGTGCACTGCTTCTGGTAGTAGTGGCAGTGTGGATTGTTATTTAGTTTGAAAACAATGTGTTTAGCCATAAAGGATCCAGTACCTGCTTGGCTCCTATTGAATCCAGCATCCTATGTCCCTCAGTGGCCAACTAGATGCTTCTCTGAAGCACGGTGGCAGAATTTAATGACACGGTTCTATAGTCTACTTTATTCCACATTCATGAGGCCTGACTATCCAAACAAAACCAGCTACCAAGAGTTAATAGGTAAGCATTTTATTACTACGTGCAGTTCATAAGTAGAGAAGAAATTCCTTATTCCCCTTTTGTCCCTTTGTGCTGCTAACAGTCAGGCTAAAAACACAAAGGGTGATACTGTAGGGTAGAAATAGTTCTGAAATGACATTCTCCATGGTGACACCTTTATGGTAATGACTGCAAGAATTTCCAGAGTGTCAAATGTTCCCTGGCAATGGATGACAGATTTATTTGAAAACACTGATAACGGGAATCTTGCTTTGATTTGTTCTAAATTAAAAAGCAGGGGAAGATGCGTAATTTGGTCTACATGTTCTCAGCCTGTCTAGTGTGCTCTGCAGTGCTGAAATGTTTAGTACCTTCCATTATAACAAAAGGGGTGACTGTTTCTGCTTCCTTGAGTTCAGAGACTTTCAGTTCTTCTTTTTCTTCTTCTTCTTTTCCTTCTTCTTTTTCTTCTTCATCCACTTCTTGATGGATGAGACACTCTGCCTCTGCATCAGAAGGGATGTCATCTAATCCCCCATCAACATATCAGGAATTGGAAACAGAAAAGAATTAAGGTTTACATTTTATACACATATCAAAGGAAGAGAATGGTGAAATTGTGTAGGTTTCTGGCCCACTTCTCAAAATAGCTTGGTTACTTGCTTGGTCATCTACTTGCTGCTCAGACTAAATTTTGTGTGTGTCTGTGTGTGTATGCAAAATTACCTAGTTTAGTTCTAAGTCATAATTTTAGAGTAAAAATAGGCTTTATCTCTTTGTTTCTGAAGCCCTTTACTAAATTTTTATTCACCACGGCTACTCCAGATATGATTAAAAGATGACATGTATTTCTATTTGGAAACTGCTTTTGGACTTTTTGCTTGAAACTGAAAGAAACGGAACTTTAATTCTGGGGTTTGATGACTGATATTTTTATAGTTATAGAAATACCTTGTACTAGTTTTTCTTATTTTTTATCATTATAGATATACTTTGTATTACTTTAAACATCAGAGTAAGAGGTGAAAGTATTATATATTTGTATCTGTACCAAAGAAAGTTGAAGTTATCCTTTTTCTTTATTTTCACTTTTTCTTTTTTATTCTTTAAATTTCATCCCTTTTCTGATCTTTTCCGTTTTTCAACCCTTTTTCTCCTCTATTTCCTTATATTTTACTTTTTGTTGAAATTTAATGAAGTTCATATTGAGAAAAAAAAGATGACACGTATAATCACCTTGGAATCCTTCTCTCACACCACCAAGCCACTACATAAACTACTGTATCAGCTGAGCAATTTTGTTTGGGGGTTGCTAAGTTTGCACCCAATCATTTTGCAGTATGACTTTGCACTTCTGCAGTATTCACTGGCAATCTATGAAGATATTCTCAGACTCATACCGTCATCCAGCTCTGCCCCTGTGTCCCCGTCTTCAATAGCTTCTGCAGGCTCAGTGCCCACTTCATCTTCATCCTCATTCTCTTCACACAGGGCTACAAAAAATGGTTGGTACAGATTTTTAAAAAAGAGGGCGGGGTGGGAGAGAAAATAGATTTAACTAAATTCAAGATGTGAAGTGAAACTGAGGTCTGTTTGGGAGACCACTCGAGATATGCTCCCGCAATCCAAATACAACAAACATGTGATGGAGTCTTCTGCTAGGACTGTACCACTCTGGATTAAAATTGGTATGTGTGATGGATATTAAATGTATACCTCCACACATGGAATCCTATCACATCAGGGACAAGGCTAACCTGTAACCAAGACTTGACATTTTTTCATTTGAATACTGAAGAACATTGATGTAGGTGACTGTCACAATCTGAGCTGAGACAATCAAACATGAGCTACAGCACATGATTTTTCTGATCATAAAAGCTCAGTTCATATATGTTGGATAAACACAGAAATTTCAGGCCATTAGTCAAATACATTTTTTTTTAAACAAGTAAAATATGTTTGGTCGATAGAGGACATGACTGTTGCCCTGAAATGTGAGACTGACCTTTTGGAATATTCAATTTTAAATTTCTGTAACATTATGCTAATCTTCCATTGGACCCGTAGTCCTATAGCAGTTTAAATATACTTGGAAATATATTTATGGCAAATACTTATTAGCTGTGGCTGTTCTAAGCAACCATCCAAAGTAAGAGTATATGGAGGTCAAATACAGCATTTCAGAATCTAAAATAACTGGTGCTATATATTTAATTGACATAATATTTTGGAACATCCTTGAAATCAGGAAACACTAGTCTTTCCTAAGCTATCATGCATTTCCCCATAAATAGCCTATAAATGCAATGAAGAGATCAGCAAATCAAAATTCAGTGATATGTTAATGGAGGCACAAATTAGCATATATTGGTGCACAAATATTCTAGGGAAAAATGTGTCCTATTCATAGTTATTTTGCAAATACATTTTTACACATATTATGCAGGTAAAGATAAAGTGCAGGGGTGGGGGTGGGGGCAGGAAAGCTGTCACACAGAAACTTAAGAGCAATGCACTACTATAACCCAAACTACTGAAAGCAATATTTTGCCCAGGTTGGTCAGCAGTCACAACTGGCTAAGAATAAGGCAATATGCAGATTCTGCTGCCAGAAGC